TTGAAATCTATCTTTCCAAATTAAAGAATATGAAAAATTTTTGTAAATTATTTTATTACGATTGTATTAATTATTGCGATTATTATAAAATTTAAAAATCCTAGACAATGTGAAAAAATTTAATGGAATATTTAAAAGAGTAGTATTAATTGTTTTCAATTAATCAAATAAAATGAATCTTTATTAAAAATATTATTGAAAGTGCTCTAAAATATAAATCAATATTGGGATTATTGATAACAATTGATCGAATATCAACCAATCAAATTTTGTAAACCCGAATGTAAAGCAACGTATTTAAAAATTACGTCGCTTATTCGAAAAAACATCTGGAATATTTTTTTCCATTGCACGCGAATAACAGCAATAAAACAAGAAGAATCGTGCAATCATCGGTTATATGACCGTCATTAATTCCTCCGATTTTCATAGCGTGTAAACATGAATAATAGATTTATATTTCGTTGGGACATTCTTTTCATTAATTCTTGTGTATTATCGCGTTTTGACATGTTATTGCTACCCGTTCTCTCATTTCTTGAATCCAAGGTTTCGAAACACGAATCCCGTCGAAGTATCGAACAGTTAAATCTTTCCAGAACAAAGGAACGAAAAATAAAAACGGAGATTGTAACATTACGAAAAGAGATTACACTCGTGTTAATCATCAGCTATTATTAGATTCCTCTAAGATTACGTTTGTTCAGGATAAATGGAGTACTTGCACAACGTGTTACAAACACATCATTGTTACAAACTTCTTTTGTGCTTCCAAGACACGGTTTATCAAAGATATTGTCAAGCGAGTAATGATTGAAAAGCTAGTTAGTACGTAATTTCTATTCTGTTCAGTTATTCCGTCAAATTCTATATATTCTATCCGTTCTTCGTATCAAACATCTTCCAAAGAATTCGATAAAACTACTTCGCTTCGATTAGAAGCATAGAATTTTTGAATGAAATATTCTATCTATCAAGATGTTTGTTGAGAAAGAAAAATGAACAATTTTTATTCAAATATACAAAACATAAATCATATTAAAAATTCTAAAATTAGAAACCGAAAAGTCTGATAATTTTTAATTTAAATAATATTAATAGGAGGATAGAAAAATAAACACACAATTTCTTATTCTTATAGAATAGAATAAAATATAGAATATACGAATTCCATTACTAATATCGTTGTCGATAACAGATCATAACGAAATAGAAACCACCGTCTTCCATTTTCCCCTTACCAAGAAAAAATCAGTACGCAATATATTACCAATACCTATCTATAAACGATCGAGGCAAAATATCCGCTAAAAATGAGGCACCGTCTCATTCGCAAAGGAACCCTTTTGTTGTACCGGCGATATTGGGTTCACGTCAACTCGAGGATCCTCTTACGACGATGCGTGTGCAAGCAGCCAATTAGCGAGACCGCAAGAGAGCGACTTCTCTCTTTCTCCGTGTCTTCCGCCTCCCCTACTCCCATCGCACACTTAGGGTCAAACGCTCGTAAACGTCGAGGCGAAACGCTCGAGACTCGACCCAACGCTCGAAAGAAGCCTCTCGTCTCTCGTCCACGTCTGTGAAAAACATATTATGAATTTCCCGACGACCAATCGGACGACCGGCATGCCGTGACCCCGGATTGTCAACCTTATGCTACCTCCTTGCTCCTTCCACCATCTCCAGCATCCCTGTCCCTCTTCGCCCGCGTCCACGAGAGATTTTCTACATCGTCCTCCTCGTCGCGCTTGCTAACGACTTGACTGGCCAAGCCCACAGGCCACAGGTGTAGTAAACCTCTTTACCTCACGCATTCGCGCGTAATGGCCCCTCTTACACCCGAGCATCTGCCGACCTCGCCGCGTAAGCTACTTCGCCAACCGTGATCCGTTTCTTCCTCCTCGACGCTCGTCATCTTCTTCCTTCGTCGACAGCCATTGGTGGATCTGTTTGATATTGTTTTTTTTTTTTCTTTTTTTAAGAAAAATTCGTGGAAAAAATTCGAGAAGAGGCGAAAACTGTGAAATGATCGGGAATAAGAATTTTTTGAAAATTTTGGATAAATTTAATAAATACAGTGAAAAGTGTTATTTTCGAAGTTTCTTTATATTTTAGACTTCGATGAGTGAAGGTAACGAATACGTTTTTATAATTCTTCTGTAAATAGAATTGCGTAGAGTTTTTCAGAGTTTTTGAATTTTTGAGGTTCTCGTAAACGAATCTGTAAAATATAGAAGAAGAATTAATATTTTTTAGCGAGTTACAAAAATTGAGTTACTGAAGTTGCTTGGACTTGGAATATTTTATTATTATTATTCGAAGATATAAAATTATGACAATTGGAAGGGAGTACGTTAAGAAAGTTAAACAGAAAGTGTATTATGTTTTGCGGTATGAAAAGATCTCGAAAGAAAAAAAAAGAAAAGGACAATGAATAAGGGTTGAAGGCATACACCTGCATATTACTTGTCACAATTATAAATCGCCCATATGCTTGCATTTGAACATCAAGTATCCCGTCATATATTGCTGCGGGTTTGATAGAAACAGTAAGCCAAATCAAAATCAAGAATCATGCATAGTCTCTCTCGATCGAGACAATTTATCAGAGCTACTTCTCGTCGTTTCCAAGAAATTTCCTCCATCATGATGTAACCTTCTCTTTGATATTTGTGAACCGTAAAGATTGTTTATCTCTTTGAAACGCGAAACGCGATAATAATGAATCGCGAAGGTGATAATTGAAAAAGACGAAGCGAAATTGATAATACGTGGAAAAAATGTAAATTGTTATTGAAAAATCACTATAATTCGCAGAAATTTCTTCGCGTCCTCTGTTTCTTTACGTAGAAATATCAATTTATAATAAATTTTCGATTTATCAGGATTCATGGAAAATAAATACACGCGAATGATTCTATCAAATCATACATTATCACTATCCGTTCAAAAATTTTCAAAAATTACAATTAAAATTAAATGCGCGCGTTTTGATCTATTGATTTTAAATTCTTCACCTCGGATATACATAAAAAATTAAACAACTTAAAAAAAATAAAATAAAGAATTGTACAGACATCGCAACATCGAAACCCTACAAACTTTTCATTGTATATTAAAACCTAATATCATTACATTTTTCTCGACACCTTTAAAGAATTATGAAACGATTGTATAAAAAATTTGAAACAGCTAAGCAAAGGAAATGTAACGTAGGCGTAGAACAGGAAGGCACAAAAGTGGTTGATTGATCGATATTGCAACAGGTGCGTCGAAACGTACGGGAGAGATTATTCGTTTTCGAATAACATTCTGCCGCGCTCCAACCTACCGATTTTTTCCTCTAATTTCGACATTAATAACAGACGGATAGATGTCTGGGGATTTCGAGGGACGGGAGTGTACAGCGCGTCTCGTAGACGCGTCGTAAATCTTCTTGGGATAATTTACGTGGGCGCGATGTACGGCGTCACAGGTGTCGTACGGCCTCTGGAGCTGGGATCTGCATCCACACTGCGCAAATTAACGTAATATAGAAGGAGGATCGGGACAACGTTTCATCCGTGTAACAAATGAAGAACAGATTTCACAAAGGAGAGAGAGAGAGCGTAGAATTTCTATTCCCTGTAAATTATTTCACAAAGGAGGGGAAGGGAAAAGGCGTTTATAATCCTTCGTCACCGGTTGTTGCTTCTGCGCATTTTTCCCATCCTCGAACGATCAGTCATCGACGAAGATAAACACTGTAGATAGCGGATGTAAAATCGAATAACGATTTCATCCAACTATCTATTGTAACCAATAAAATCTTACCAAACAATGATATATATATATATATATCATAACTCCAACGGGTTTGAGAAATCCACCCGATCCCGATCTGAAAATCCACCCTGAAAAAGAAAAAAAGAAAGAAAGAAGAAAGAATATTCTTTCGCTCGTGACAAATTTTACGTAATCCTGAAGAATGACGAGCGGCACGTACGAGCGCGTCATCGTCCGTTGGTAGAGCTTTTTTTTTTCGCCTCGCGCATAGGGGCCAGAAGCTGGGAAAGCTGAACAGTCGGGCCACGAAGAAACCACTAGAGCTCGTTCGATGGACATCGAGTGGCCTCTCCCCTCTCTCCTTCCCACCTAAATCAACAAGAGAGGATCCCAGCCATTCGAACGTCCGGGGTTACGGGCACGAGTGCTCGTGAATACACGCAGGTGCACGCAGGTGAACGCATCGCGGACTGTCGACTCGTATGCGAGTTCTCGCCGTGGTACCGAGAAAAGCCGTGGAGACACGCGGAAACTATCACCCTTGCGCGCTCGTTAAAGTCTCCGGGACCGATCGTTGAAATCTCTCCGTCTCTTTCTTTCCATTTTTTTTTTTTTCAGACCACGGTCGAAGTTGAAGTATTGGACACGGTGGACGAGGAGGAAGCTTGGCGGATGATTTGCAACGTAATTTTTCTTCCAATTTGTGAAATAATTATTAAGGTTCTTTTTTTAATAAGGAAATTCGAAGCGTTTCAACTCATCGGTTTCGTTAATGTTTCTAATGATTGTTTGTAATGGCGCGAAGAAAAGAAGCGAAGATTAAGAAGAAAAAGGTAGAATCGTATATAGAAACGTGATATGTAGCAGAGTGGAGATCTTAGAAGATCAGTACCTCTTCCATAGTTCTTCATTGCTTCATAGGCGTTCATAAATTATCACAGTTTATGATGTATTACGAAGACCATGAAATTTTCTCGATTCCAGACTATTATAACTAGAAATAAACGCTTCGTACAAAGATGTCGTTTTATTTGCGAAATTTGCAAGCGTGTTTCGAGACATCTTTTTTTTTTTTATATGTATATTTTTATATATATATATATATATATAAATTCTTTCCTTCTTCTTTTTCCTCTCATTCTCGTCTCCTTTTTTCTCGAGTTTTTATATCATGGTTAAAGTCAAATGTTGGGTCACAACTCGTGTTACGATCGATATACTACATGTGTTTTTAATGAGCATTTATCGTCTCCTATCCACACGATGTCGAGAGAATTGCGAGAAGCTGTCCTCGCGATGCGTCTCGCGCGTTAGAACGGAATTATCCGAGAAAACGTGTTTCTCGTAGTACATCAGCGCGCGGACAAATTTATTACTAAATAAATAACTCGGTAAGATAGCGTGGACGATTCGCGCGCATACGCTCGCCATGAATCCGTGCGCGTTTCGCGGCGACGGTTTGGAATGCGAGAGACGCGCAAAAGACGAAAGTAATCGAATACCATCTCGAGTTCGAAGTACTTGGCGAACGATCGCATTCGTATAAGGGAAACGAATGATCGAGGAAAAATTTTGAAATAAACGACGATCAAAGAGCCACGTATTGGCTATACAATATTCTTTATTTTATTTTTCACCAAATACTCGGTGCGTCTGTACGCGTATCATCTTATTTTTTATTATTTTCCTTTCCTTTTCTTTCTCTTTTTTATTCTCGAGTCTGCACTCTCATCGTTACGCAACAATCAAAGTGAAGCTCGAAACGAAAATTAGAAACGAAACAACAAAATCGAAGGGCCGAAGATATTCGAGAAATATACGCGTTGAGGGGAACACGCGTGAACACCAACGTATTAGCGAGGCTAGACAGACTGACGAATAATTGGATCGCGTTAAATAAAAGATTCGACATAAATAAAAGAAATCTCGATGCGGCGGATTAACGAAACACTGGCCATTCCCGAGCGGAATTCGAGAGGATTTTCTGAAACGTTCGTCCCACTCTCTCGAACGCCCTTGTACGTTCACACGAAAGGAAAAGAAAAATTTGAAAACGCGAAAGAAAGAAAGAATGAAAAATCACAACACGCACACCACGCACGCAGGCATTAAACACGATGCGTTCGTATCTTACGCGTACGTAATTTCGTTACACACGTGCGCAAGCGCGGTTATTATTTAACGTTAAACTATCACGAGGTTTTTACTGGCACACATTCTCTCCTTTTTCTCTCCACCTCACATTTTCTCCCTCCCTCGTGCACTGGGTGTACGAGAATTGAAAGGCACACAATCGTACGTCTCTTCGTACGCGAAACGATGTATCGAACCGATCTTCGCCGATTCTTTCTTCAACGAACACCTGACGAAGTTGAGGCCAAAGTGGACGGTGGCGGCCAATAATAAACCGATGACCCGAGCGATTTTAACCGATCGGTGATCGTAAAGTCATTCGTCGCGACGCAACACGCGCATTCCGCTCGTCCCAACTCTTCCTACTGTCGCTGTCCATCCATTACTCTCCTCTTCGCTGTCGCTCTTCACGCTCCGCCATTATTTTCGCATTATATCACAACGATTCCCCGTCTTTTTACCCGCCTTCCACAATATCTTCTTCTACCTCCCCGGCGAAAAGGATATTTTCCTTTTCCTCGGTTCCTCCATTTCCTCGCGATTCGCCTTCCACTTGGCAGGCCATCTCCCGCACAGTACAGCCGTAAGTCATCTCTCCTCGTTCCCGTGAAAGGACAACAATGTAATGCCTCATCGCGTTAGGGAGGCAGGCTCGCTAATTGTAGCGACGATTCAACAACACCAACCAGTCCAGTTTCTGTCGAAAGCTGTCCTCAAGCTGCCCACGAGGGGTCACGTCTTTCTAGTGAGATCGAGGGGCGGCCCCGTTTCCTGGAGCAGCTGCTCGTTGTCCTCGCTGTCCGTCGACCTCTCCTCTTCCGTGCTACCGGCCGCGTCCACCTCCTGCCCGTCCGTCCGACCGGCCTTCATGCTCAGGTCGATCGGCTCGTCCTGCTCCGGGCCCAACGAGCGTAGAAACGCTATACTCTTGTCGTACGCCTCCATTTGACTCCTCTGACACCCCCCACCGCCCACTTCTCGACACTCGTCCCGCGTGCTTCGATTGTCGTCGTCCCGTTTCGGCGACGGCGTCGATCTAGGGCTCACGCTGTCGCTCGAGGAACTCGTCAAACTCGCCACCATTTGGGGGGCGCCGACCTGGTTCACGTATGGGACGATAAATCTCTGTTGGAACGGGAAGAACGGGGTGTTGAGCAGTTGCATGTGGGTCAGAGCTGGGTGAAAGAAAGGTGGACCTCTCCACATAGGGAACCTGGATACTTCCGGCCTGAGCAATTCGTGGGGCGCTCTGACCAGGTCCATAGGCCTCAGAAGGGGATCCTGCGCCGCCCTCGTTGGGATGTCGGGCGCCCTTAACTGGCCCGGTATATCCTGGGGCCTGAGCTCGTCCCTTTTCGGGAACCTGTCCTGATGGTGTTGATGGTGATGATGGTGGTAACTGTTCGCGGTAGTCGTGGTCGTTGTCACTATACCCACGACACCTGTCGCGTTCGTCGTGCCCGGGTTCTCGTTATTATTGTTGTTATTGTTCGCCACGTCCAACGAACCGAACGCCTTCTCGTACGCGGATTTCGGGTCCTTGATGAGGCGCGTTTGCGCCTGGTGAGTCTGTTCCTGGAGGAGGCAGTGGATTTTGAACCAGTTCGAGCGGCGTCCGTAGCGAGAGCCCGACTTCGACATACCCACCATCAGACACTTCCTAAGCCTGCACGCCTTGCACGCGGTGCGATTCTTCTTGTTGATCACGCAAACGCCGCCGTTCTTGCATTCGGAGATGCTGCCTAGATTGTTGTAAGTGCGCCCGAAGAACGACTGTGGAGCAGAGAAACGTTTTCGACGCGTGTTTCTTATATTGTGGTGGAATGTGTAATGTTGTTTTTCTCTTTGTAGGAGAAGAGATATTAAATCGGGGAAATACTCGACGGGAAAGTATTATTTATGGGCCGTTATCCATATTAAAATGTTGAAAGCAGAGTTTAAAATTGAACGCAATTTTCATAGTCGAGGTGTTCAAAGAGTTTGGAATATCTTGGAAAATATGAAGTAGAGATATCAAATTTTTTTCACTTCCAAAAAATTCACATCAAATTTCAAATTTACTACACTAGATTTGTGTTTTTTTTAAAAAAAAAAAAAAAAAAAAGTACTCGATCTATACCCGAGGCCGATTCGTTCCCAAGCTTCTCTACATTAATTCTCGAGAAGACCTTTGAAGGATAATCGAGTCGTATAGCTTAACAGAGAAAAGTATGCCGGGGAAGAAATCAACGTTGAAAAATTACACGTTCAAAGACGAACCGTATACAATCAATCGGTTTTTACTAAAACACGAATTTGAACTTTCCGCAAGAAACGTGAAACCAGAGACCCGTGGGTCAACACGGACGGTACAGTGCCCGGTAATTGTAACGTGAGGATGATGCACGCGTTTGCACGCTTAAGGCTACAATTTTATTTGCATTCGCATTCTGTATGCGCGTGTGTACACGTACCAAATGTGAAGGAGGAGGAAAGAGAGAAATAAAGGAAAGGGCCGAAGGATAGCGAAAGAGAGGGAAGAAGAAGAAGAAGAGAGAGAGAGAGAGAGAGACATATGGACACAAGATGCGAGAATATAAACGGCCATTGAATTTTTCCACCAGGGTCTGATGATCTAAAGAGAGCAAAGGGTTCGTCTGGATACTGACCTTGCAACCTTCGCACGTGAAGGCCCCGAAGTGAAAACCCGCGGCCGGCTCTCCGCAAACCCTGCAGAGCTGATTCATCTGCAACAAAAAGATGCGACATGTGGTTACGCTTCGGCTAAGAAACGCTTAGAATGCAGCGGTGATCAAGCTCGCGCAATATGTGCCAATCATGGAAGATGAAGTTTCTTCCTCGTCTCCAAAGATCTTAGTTTACCGGCGAGGAAGGGCGAGGAAGAGGAAGAAGAGGAGGAAAAGGAGGTGGAAGGAAAAACAGGAATAATTCCTCGTAACTTAGGCAAACGATACCAAATAAGAAACAAGCGCTCCTGCTGCTCGTGCCATTTATTTCACCGTTCAACTAACTCTCTTCAACTAACTAATAGGACATTCCTTTTCCAAAGGAACCCTCGTGCCGATTGATTAAAAACTTGGCATTGGACGCGAGTGTTTGTCGTAAAAATTTCGAATCATTGAGGAATCGATGTACGATTCTCAAGAGTTGAGAATCTTCGAGAATGAGTGAGGGGAAGGGATTGAGAGGTGTTCACGCTCGAAAAGACGACAGGCAGTCAGAAGATGGAAAAAGGGGGATCTTTTCTTGCCTTCTCTCGGGAGGATGCAAGAAGAGGCGAGGATTCGGTTGCGAGACCGTGTTCCTATTAAAACCTAGTTAGCCAGCCATTGCTGCGTGGTGCACAGGTTCGGTCGTGGCGATCCAACGAGAAAGGACGACCGACACGGGAAAGGCGAAATCGTATCTGGCGAGAATGTGCACGCGTTTCGATCGTGTTTTGTAAAATGGAGTATTCGTTTCTTGAAGTTTGTTGAAGTTATGGAGATTGAAAATCGAAAGAAATTACGTCACAGGTTTGTCGCATAAAATGATCGTGATAGAATTCAAAAGGAAAGGAAACGAAAAATAAAGTCGTGGAAAAATTGATTCCAACAATGATTCTATTAACGAAGGGTGTATCCATTTCTCGATTTCGAAATGGAAAGGAATATCATCAATAGAAGGGCGTTGAACGTCGAAATAATATTACATCAGCTCCACGTATGTATTCTCGAGTGAAGGAGAGAGAATCTGTCGATATAACCGAGGCCAAAGGTCCTCCACCAGTGGATGTTTCGAAATATTTTTAGAATTCGATTTTTTCTTCTCCTTTTAATCAACCAATCTCGTCCAATACACGTTTTCCTCGTCTCGTATAAGGCGTTTCAGAGGAGAATATCGTTTGACGTTTCGTTTGAAAGAATCTGATCGTCTTTTGCTCGGATACTGCGCAATTTGAGCGTGGAATGTAATGTGGTAATCGATTACACTTGGAAAGGTGTCTTGACGAACTGGACGAGGTGATCGATAGTAAACAAGGATTTAGAGGATCAGATTATGAAAGAAACTGACTGTTGCCTTATGTCCTGTGTTTACAATATTCCTGTGTTTACAATTCTCGAGTTTTTGTCATAAATAACGACTTTAAAGAGATAATACTATCGACTTGGATGGAAAATTACAAACGGTTATCGAAGGAGAGTCATACACAAAGAAACAAGTTCAATTAAAAATATTCAAACTGCAAACAGATTTCAATCTTTAGTCAATAGACGTATAATTTTTTAAAAAGCATACTATATTGAGAAATCATTGTTCCTAAATCAACATTTTTTGTGTTATATTATGTAAACATTTATCTAAAGATAAATTCACGTACAACCGATATATTTAGATTTACTGAAATAAAACTATAGACATTTTTATCAAATGAAGAAACGAAAGAAAATACGAAATCTCGAATGAATCCTTTTAAAAATGCCTATAATCAAAAAGTCTCTGTATTCTGTCTATTCATTTCTAAAAGGAGTCACAATATCTTTCTACCATATTCTTTAAAAAAGAAAAAAAAATTACGAAATTACCAAACCAATCGTAATACACCAATCTCCCGTAACACCAGCCAAGAATCCAACTCTTCTCCCCCGATCTTCCTTGCGCCAAGTATGAAAGTTCACTCCTTGGCCGCGTATCAAAAATGATTTCCCGTTTCACCGAGTCTGCGTATCTGGGTGAGACTGCGGCTTCTTGTGGGAAAGGCTTGCTGAAGCTTCTTTAAGGTAAAAAAGGTTAAACGTCCAACAGATGACGCGGCTGTGTCACCTCGCCTCTAATCCCTGCACACCAACGGAACTAAATAACGTTCTTCGTGTCCCTTGATGGGCTCTCCCCGTCCTCCATCTTCCCGTCCACGTGTTGTTCACGCGACGACGAGGACACACGAATCCTTCTTTTCTTTCTCTCTCCCTCCCTCCCCCTCTTCGACGCGTTTCCACCATCCTCGACCCTCGTGATATTTCTTTTTTTCGAGCACTGTGTTCGAACCGCTTAATCGCACACCCGCATCCGTCTCATTAAGTAAGAGCGGCGAAGGTAATGCCGATGACGAATGGCAGTCGGAGGAAGAAATGAAAGTAGCGTGCCGGCCGGGGATATATATTTTTCCCCGCGTTACACGGCTGATGATTCGCCTTTACGCCGTGGCGCGCACGCGCGCTTCACGCCACTTTTTTCAAAGTGGCCGCCGCTGCTGGGAAATGCAACAGGGCTTTTTTTATTTCCTCCCTCTTCGCTCTATTTCTCGCGAAGATGAGTTTTCGCGAGGGAGGGGGAATTGAGGAAGTGAGAAAATAGACGGTGGATTTTTATTAGGTGTGGTATGGTAGGAAGGGGGTCGAGGGTGATCTTGAAGCGGAGGAATTAATAGTTGGATTTGTATTTGTAATTATTACGAGAGATACATGGTTAAATCTATCGCGAAATTATTGTTTATTTCGAAGGTGAAAAGTGAAAATAATAATTTTAAAGTTTCTACAATTTGGCAAATTTGACTCTCTGAGACGAAAATAATATTTTTTAAAACAAATTATTAAAGTAAAGTAGAAAGCAATAGTATCATCGAAGAGTAAATGATTTAATTGTTTAATATTGAATTTTAAGTACGATAATACTTGCAAGTATAAATATTTTATTATAAATTATTTTATTATAAAAATTATTATTCATATAATTTATTTCCATCTAATCAAATTTCTAATTAATAATTTGGTACTGTAGGTTGTATTTACTATAAGAATCATCGTTCGTTCAATTCATTTCCATTCTCCATCGAAGCTTTAAATAAGCAATAATTCTAAATTGTTCATAGAAATTTGATAACCGTCTGTATTTTAGGTTCAAATTATTTTTATGAAAAATTTATGATTTTTAATCTTTTACATATAAAAGATACATATGTATAATAAAAATTTTTGAATGAATATCTCGCTTTTTTATACTGCATTCCGATTTTTATTCGAATAATTTAAAGCCTTATTAATCAACAAAGAAGAGATGAAAGTCTACGATACAGTTTATCGTGGCACTTACATTGTTTTTTCGTGTCCATTCGTGTCAAATTGTAAAATTGAAATAAAATTTTAATATTGCTTGATTTTTTTTTTAAATTCTCAAATTAAGCGTCTGTAAATCAATTCCAATGGAATAACATATGATTTTATAGTCAAAATTTAATCTCTGATTCCCTTTCGTAATTTCCTTTTTTACACAATTATCATTTTTATATTTAATTAAATTCTGACTTCGATATTCAGTTATGTATAATGCTATCATAATCTCACTGTTACCTGTCATTTTTATTCATAGAAAAAAAAAAAAATTCGAAACATCTATTTTAAATCATTTGAATTTTTACTATACATATGTGATCAGATGAAAAAAAAATTCATAAACGAATCTAGTAAACTATATGTATTTTTTTAAAAACGAATCTTGCGCAGAACGTGTTTTATTTATCAGTTCATAAATGTTACAATAGATTATAACAATTTAAATCAATAAATTTGACAAACCTGCTATATTACGTATCGCTAAATCCTTTCTTGTATTACTTTGCAAATATGAATTCAAATCAACTCCAGAACTATTTTAAGATCTATATATATAATCATAATCATATTCCTCATCTATAAAAAACAGTCTTGTTTTTCGTTTAACTCGATCACCTGACGTGACTGTCATTTACATTTTGAATTGTTAAAGAATATAAAAAGGTCGACTTATATAAAACTATCTGTATTCTTTTCATCTTCAGAATTCTGATTAATCAACTAGCTGATTATTATGAACTATTCAAAAGTAAAACAGACTCGACAAGAGGAATGATACGTAATCCAAAGTTAATTATTTTATCCGATAAAATAATTAAAATAAGAAAGACAAATTTAATGATAAAATTTAAGGAAGATGGGAAGATTAAATATTTGTAAAATAAAAATAAAAGTGAAGAGAAAACTCATTAAAGAAAAGATAATAAAAGAGAGAAAAGAAATGAAATCCATTAATGAAGAATAATAAAAGAGGAAAGAGAAATATTAGAAATAATAAGAAAAGGAAAAATAGAAACGAAATCATTAAAAGAAAAAAAAAAGGAAGGAAAAAGAAGCAAGATTTATTTAAAATGTAAGTGAGAAATGCATTAGTTTACGAATTATTTACAAAAGATAATAATATATTATATCAAGTATACAATGACCATTTATGAAAAATATTCTTGAGATCAATTTTTGAAAGTTTTATTTTAAATTGGCGCCTTAAAGGAAACAAAAGCTCAATAATAGAAAAAGAATAATTGAAGAAAAACATGAAAAGATTTCTCACTTATAAAAAATATTCTCAATTCGTATCTTAAAAATTAAAAAAAAGAGAGAGAAAGAGAAAAGAAAGAAGAAATATTTAAACCTCATTAAAAAAAAAAAAAGGAAAAAACAAAAGCAAGTTACACGATGAAAAGAAGAAAAAGGAAGAACGAAATTCGCTTCGAAGAAAAATTAAGGGAAAAAGAGGAATCAAAAGAAATATAAGGGAGGGAAATTTAAAATAAAAAAAAAAAAAAAATTAAAAATAACAAAGAAGAAACTCACCACGTCGGTGTTGGCCGCCGCGATCGTCGACGTAGGCGTCCACCACCCCGCGGTAGCGGATGTCGTACTTGTAATGACACCAACACCCGTAGCTACAGGGATGGATCCGCTCCCAGCCAATCCTGCCGAGCTCGACAAATCGCCCACGTCCATTCGATGTTCTTTAATCTCTCGATGCAAACCGTTCGCGCCGGTCCCTCGAGCCGTCTGTTCCGTGTTCGATGTCGCGACCCAACATTTTCGTGCGTGTCTTACAAGGTCCGATGTCGTCAGATATTTCTTTGCCCACCGCGGATTCTCACGATCCCCGGGGTAAACCCGGGATCACCGGGGTCCCTAAGCCGTGAACCTTTTATCTTCGTGGATACTGCGTCGTGAACTGTAACCACCGACGGGGAATTCGAATCGTTTATTATTATTCGTTTCACCAGGCTTTAGTTTACTTTGTTTTGTTTATCGTCGTTTGTTTTGACCGCAGTGTGATTCGTGGTTTATGGTTTATTGGCGGGTTTATGTAAGATTTGTACAAGAGAGCATCGTGTGATTTGTTAAAATGGAGATCGAACAGAATTGTGAATTCAGAGTTGTGCGGATTTGTTATACCGAATATCTCTCGTTACGATTGGATTGCATTGGATTGCATAGATCTGGATTTTTGATGCATGGTGTTAATGTAGCGTTAAGGAGGAAACGTAAGGAACGTGAGGTCTCGTGATTCGAGTGAACGATGGAAGGATATTGCTCGTGAGTTGTGTTAAATTGATTATGAGTAATTTGGATGCAGGCCAATTTTATCGTTTCTGCCAAATATTTAGATTAGATTCGTTATTTGAGGATTTGCGAGGATTTAACTAGCGAGTGTTACACTGCTCTGTTTAACGTTAATTAAATGTATTTGTGTTCCTTATTGAAATGTCGGAAAGAAAAGCATACTTTTTCTGTGGAGATTGTTCGCGGACGAAGAGAAGAGTTTTTTGGTGAAAATAATTGAAAGAGTAAAGGAAACGTTATAATCAGGGACGTGATAATTAATTTCTCAACGGTTGGTTAATATTTTTACCACGACGATATAATACACGTGTTTAAATTTTTACTGTTATCCAATTAACCGGCTATCATATCTCACACTCCATTTTTTACAATTGTGAATTTCAGGAATATGGAAGAAAAAAGTATCTTGAAAAAAATTCTTGAAAAAAAAAAAAGAAATCACAAAGCGTACGAACAAAAATGGACAAAGAAAAGTGAAAAAATTTAAAATATAAAATTATGCATCAACTTTCTTAAAATTCTAAAAAGTTATTTCATCGAAACTTTCAACGATCACAACACAAATTATGTAAAAAAAGAAAGCAATAAAACGATAAAAACAATGAATATAAAAATTAAAATACATATATAAAATTAACGATCTGATTAATCTGTATCCCCCAATTTCTCCAAAAAAATTCCTATCCCGAAATATTTCTCGTTCCTTCGAAAACGAAAACGGACAATAACATTCCATCAATCGCACGATAAGAATAAAAATATAAAACGATTAAAAAGCCAATGTTATCCCATCCATTTTCCAATTCTCGCGAAAATTATACAAAGAGGAATTGCGTATCATGTTCCCCAAAAACCTTGATCAGAATATTCTCCATTCCTTCGAAAACGAAAACGGATAAAATTCCATCGGCGTGCCAAGCTTCCGGCGATCAACAGTACCGAGGTCCGCCATTTCTTGCTGGAACCTCTTCGAGATAACATGTCGTGTTTACAGCGGTGTAACGCCATTACCATGTTAAGAAGCCCGCCTCGCAACAGACGCATAAATACGATCGCTAATTACGGCGCTGTCCACGTATTAATTTCATCCGTGCGCGGGGACCGAATCCCGTATGTACGCGACGCGTGTAAGGGTACACGCGCTTCCGATTAACCAGATTTCAAATCCCCCGGATGAATTCAAACGGGAAGGGAATACCCTCTTTTGCCACCAACTTTTGCCGCGAATTTCTTTCGAACGGCTCGTAATTTCACGCTAAAAGATAGCGACGCTCCTCGAGAAAAAACGATACGCCGGAAGCTGTTATTGGTGCCTCTCGAACGCTCGAATTGCCAAGAAATATTCCATAATTTCATACGAAACATCGTATTTAAAAATTATATACGGATATATATATATATATAGAGTTTTATCGTTAATATTATTTTTCGTTTAATATTATTTTATAGAAATATGTTTAAATTCTTATTAAATGAATTATTATATTTAATTAATCGTAAAAAAAGGTGATATAAACGAGGAAATAATGAAACAAATAAGAAATTTGAAAAATCCGATTATCGAAAACTTCAATTTATACAATTCCAGTGACAAATGGGATCCTTATCTCCTAATGGACACAACGATACGTATAAAAAAAATATGTTGTATCGCGAAACGCATATATAGAATTTTAATTAAACTGCTCGAAGATTGATTTCTGGTTGTCGTTGATCGACGCGATCCGGTCGAGGAAGTACGAAGAAAGTTCGAAATGATGCATGGATCGGGAAGCAAACGTTTCGTTATTTTTTTTTTTTCTTTTCTATATATATATATATATATGTATATATACATTTCTTTATTTCTTCTTCCACTTTTAGCGATTCAGAAAAATAATCTCTGCAAAATATCGAATCGATCGAAACATCGCGGGACGATGCCGGATAAATTTTATCGCGGTACGTCTTCCTTAAATAATGACAAATTAATTAACGTGCCGTATCGCGCCGCGGAAGACCGGTTTAACATCGGGTGTATCGTCGCCTCCACACTGGATATTATAAATCCACGATTTCTACGGTCTAACGTTCCCGTTTACCGCGGAAAATATAACACGGCGAAATGAATTTCCACGATCGTGAACGCGCACCGGTCAGAAAATTGTAATATTATTTCAATATAACGAACGGATCCCGTCGAAGGAAGCTCAACGAGTTGGCAAATGGGGTTGTAACGACAAGGCGATAATTGATCCGATCGTTAAATCTCGAAATTCATGATCCTTTGCGGATAAAGTTCATCAAATCATGGTTGATTTGCTTTTTCCGGCAAGGGGAGAATTTAAAAATCGACCCTTAACTAAGTATAGATACTATTGGAATATTTTGGAGAGAAAATGATTGTACAATTTTTATTGTATAAAATGTAGAATAAAATTAATTTCTTGTGATCAAAAATGAAGTTGATATTGAAGATCAAAATTGAGATTCTAAAATTCTAAAATTTATCCAAATCTAAATGATTGTAAATAAATGTGGTGTCTTAGAAATTCGAAACGATGCGTATTAAATTTTGAAATTTCATTTACAAGAAACGCGACAAACGAATTTTTAATACCTCCACGTCGTTAATTAATACCCACGTCAGTTTAAATATCTTGCATCGAACAAACTTGAAAATTCGCATCCACGTTTGAGCAATGTTGTAATTCAAATTAACGAAAGATGTTTCTCACTGAGAACCCGTTTTCACGGAATTGTGCATTGAGCATTGAATCATAGAGAATGAGCGAGGAGTAAGAAAAGGCCGAACACAAGCAACGCGCGCGATTTGCCAGCGAATATTTTTCAAAGATGATTCCCCGCGGGATCGGGCGAGTGCAGAGAGGCTTTTGCAACGTTACCACGAGCGCAACAAGTTTGCAGTCCTTGAAATAATCGCTCTTTTACCCGCACAAGCGTTACCGCGTGTATGCAAACGTAATACATCGCGTCACTCTTTAGAAGACCGCCTGGCAAGTTGGATTAGCAGCATCGCACAATCCGTGTCCGAGATGGGACTAAAAACGACCATACCTCGTCGACACCGAGCTATTCCGATTATTCAAACCTCTGGACACCTCTATACGTGTTCGTCGCGAGGAACGCGAATTGGAATTTAACTTTTCTTTAAAAAAAAGAAAAAAAAACTAATCGCAAAATATTGATATTTCTCAACAATTATTGAAAGAATCGAAAAATTTGTTATATATTTAAATTTCGTTAGTCAAGTAAGTACTTTTCGAAACGTTCGTTTGAGAGTACAGCAAGAATTTTTTGTAAATTTATTTTACAGAAAGATTTTACAGAAAGAAAAAAAAAAATGTCATAGATCAATGAATCTAGTTAGACGATCGACAGATACGTACAACGTCGAAATTGTCAAAATCGAAAAAGGAAACGTGTATGTATACTGTAAAGCTAAGTAATGTGCTACGGATGAACGATTCGCACGATTATCTTTTTCGACTTTCTCAAGCTGTCACGCATCATTAATATCCTAATTGTCCGTCAACTTTTTCTGGCTTGATCATCGGTATACGTACAACGTAACAATAATAACAACAATGATTGAAAGGTGAAACATTCGCGTGAAAAGTATCGCTCGTGGTGTATCCTTCTCTCCTACTCTCTCCTTCTCTAACCTCCTCTTTTTCGGGCGATTCCCCATCTTTTTTTCGATCTTTTCTCTTCCTTCCTTTCTTCCTCTTCCTCTTCTCCTTTCTTTCTTTTTTTTTTTTTTTTCTATCGCGAGCATCACGATTGCTGCCAGCCTTGTGGCAGCCAATGAGTGACGAGCGGCTGCAACTTTAATGAACCGGTTGTGAGCGGCACGTCACACGGATATCATGGCACCGACTGCAGACAGTTGAAATTGTTGTGCCCGGGCGTCGTGACAAATTAATCGTCGAATCGGCGAGGAAGGGAAGAAAGAGAAGAAGAGAGGCGGAGAATTGATTTTTCGTCCAAACCAAAGACTTTACACGCACAATATTTTCTAATTGAACTCTAAGCAACCGATTCGTCGAAAAATCCTTTGAATTTTGCGAATACAATACGACGACGCTGTGAACAAGATCACTATAGGATAATATTATAAATAAGAACTGATATTTTTACCATTCGATTTGCGAGAAGGCAAACTGCGTTAGATTCACGCGAACCACCACAGCTGTTACAGTCCACCACAGGCCATTAATTTCGTAAGAACGTTTATGTTTCAAATTCCACTCTCCCTATAAGTAGAATCTTCCCCTCGTCATCGGGCATTTTTCTCGATACACAATCCGCGCGTTCACAATCACCACAAGTCACCGCTCAAATCCTCCTCGAATCCATATCCGACAATCTCTTCCATGCTCGTTCACCAATCCTCGAACACGTTAAACAGGTACCGTATCGGGTAACCATAGATACCGAATCTCACACAATTATTCCGATATACTTCCTTCCTTCCACTTCGTCTCGACATGTGAAAATCAACCGCGCCTCGGGTCTTTTCGCGCACAATCCTCGACCACCGTCCCCATGGCCGCTGCGTTCAACCGTGTATATACCACACTCGCGTGTCCTTCTTCAAAATTCCTTATTATATAAACTCGAAAAACTCGATGGTTCCTCAACGGAGCCTCAAAATCACGGTGGATTTCGGTGGAGGAGGGTCGAGCGTTGGTCGGGAGCGGCGCCCACTCGGAATCGGCTCGCGAGGAACGAGGCGAGACGTCGCGAGACGACTCGGGAGCGGCGGAGGAAGAAGGCACGGCGGCGGGAACGTGGTTAAAATCGAGCAAAGGGAGGCGCGAAAAATGTGGAAACCGCCAGGGAACGGGTGGAAGACGCCGGACGTCGTTGAGCTCCGGTTGTGCGAATGAAGAATGGAAGGGAGAAAGAAGGAGGAAGCGTGGGACAAAACGGGACGAAGAAGAAGAGGACGGAGTCGTGGCTGGACCACCGGCCGGCTCGGGGCGTGCGCTCGTGTAGCACGTGGCCGCGAGACTGAATATCCCCTACCTTGGCCACCTTCGTCAGTCCGTTTGTCCGCCTCGTCCTTATCTTACCTAGTCGACCGAGAAAGACTACCGCGGCCTTCTCTCGTTCTCTCTCCTCCCACCACTAGCCTCTACCCTCTCCTTCTCGATGATCTTGGTGTTCTTCTTCTTCTTCCTCTTCTTCTTCTTCCACTTCTTCTTCTTCTTCTTCTTCTTCTTCTTCTTCTTCTTCTTCTTCCACTTCCTATGCAGCCTCCTCCTTCGAAGCCTCCTCTTCTTCCTCTTCTTTCTCCCCCTTTCGCACGATCTTTCCGCTTCTTGTTTCTCCTCTTCTCGAAGTTCCTTCGAGTAGTTCTGTTGTTCCTAGTTCTTCCTCCTCCTACTTGGTCCTCTGATGTTGTTGCTTCTCCTCTCGGCTCTGATCTCGCGAGCTTGTCGATCTCTCCCCGTGCTGCATCCATCTCCACCGAGAGTGGATCCTGTGTACGCTGTGTATACGTGCGTATACGTGTGAGTATCTCGCGGCCGATAGGAGGAATCGCTTGAGCCGCTTTTCGCGCCGGTAAGACCGCGCGGGTGGAACGATTTGCTGGATTTATCGTTGGGGGAGGGAATGGAGGAGAGATTTAGAAAGTTTCGGGGATAAAATGAGATGAATTATTATTTGGTTTATCAGATCGAGAAGTTATAATTTAACGAAAACTGTATTTCGTCGTTTTAGTATCTAATAAGTTGTGCTTTGCAACGTTTCTTTTAAATTATTTTTCTCCGATAAATTGTAAGATAATTGTAAAATTCTTTCAAATAAATTATTCTTTTCAATAAACCTTTGTCGATAAAATTAATTAGATAAGCGAACCTTGTCAGTTTAATTTTTATATATCTCGTACCTTTTTATCTAAATCCCAATCGATTCCCTAATAATTATAACAAAATCAACGGCTGATAAAATAGCTGAAATATCTTTTCTCGGAACTTCTTTACATACGGAGAGATAACTATCTACATATTTTTTAATGAACCGCAATTTTCTCGTTCTTCGAAGCATGTACAATTTGCGTAAATATAACAGTTTTTCGCCTAATAAAATTCGCAATAATTTGCGTAAAATGTAACAGTTGCTCGCCTAAGAAATGTAATCGAAGAAAATGTCATGTATGCAACGATAGAAGATAGTAATTATTTTCAATCGTGATTGGAAAACTTTCGATGAATCGCGCGATTTGTTAAGATAATTAAAAAATTATTTTCTTAAAAATTTTAGCTGTATATAATCGTAGATACGATAAACTTAATTGTAGAAGATGTAAATATATTTACACGTAAGTATGTATGCGTATGTAAATTAACATCTGCAATACTTATTTAAAGTTTTATATTTTAATGTACGTAATAATATGTTTTCGAACGATATGAAAATTAATTATGCGAGCTATTTATATTTTGTGCTAAAAAAAGTTTTATAGTAACTCTTAATACATACGATCAAAGATATGGGGGAGACTTCAATGCTCGCATAAGAAAGTCGCTTTCAATACGGGCTTATTAGTAACATTGTAACAATCTTATGTATTTATTAATAAAATAATAATTTCAATGTTAGATAGAATTAAATGATAGTATTTTTATTACAGTTAATTTCTTAGATTCTATGGAATTTGTTATTTTCAATGGAAACAATAATATCAAGTTAAACATTTTGCAATTAATAACGATAAAATAAATAAAATTGATTTTTTCTATCTTACAATATCATTTAATTCGAATTTATGAAATGCAATCAGTTTTACGTGTCCGTCGTTGCAATCATTATTATACGGACGATAGAGATTTATTTATCTCTGTTTGTTACAATGTGAAATAATTGCATCCGGGGAAAAACAGACTGACAGTCGATCGAATAATAACAATTAAAGTTCGAGCGATTCGTCGATTAATTACGTATCATGATGCGATAGTATAAAAATCGTATTGATCTTTACATAACCACGTCAAGAGTGATTATTGTCGTAAAACATGAACGATCACGTTTAATGGCGCACTTACGTTGAATCACTCTTTGGAAACCGTGATCGGTGCAATAAAAATCCTGATGTCGTGCGAGAAGTGCGCCTTTTGTTGAGCGAAGTCCGGTCGAGGGAGATCCGCGAATGTATTTCAATTACACCCATCCTTGCTATTCCCCTGCCAACTCATTTGAAACGAGACAAATGGTATATCATGGTATCACAGTTGAATGGAATAAACCAGAAGAAGGCAACGTCGTTCGAAGTGGGAGGCGCCCGATCAGCAACCAATAGAAAGAGCCGCCACCCACGAAGCTATAAAAATTAATTTATCACTGGGATCGCCGCCTACGCCATTGCTCCATTCGTAGACCCATGATTCGGCAGCATCCCGCGAGATAGCGCTATCTGTCGGGTCTTCACTAGTGGTATATTAATTTAAATTTTCTTTTTTTTTTTGAATTGTAATTAAGATGATTGAATTGTATTTTTTTGCTTTGATCATTATAGATTCGTTTTTTATAATTTAATTTTTCAACACGATTAGTTTATAAAATTATTTGGAAAAATCAAAATATTTATGATAAAAATGGAAATAAATAATTTATTATTGATATTGGTTTTAAATTTTTAATGGTGATTATGCAACAAATACAAATATATTTTTTATCAAAAGTTATTTAGTTATTTCGTGAGAATAATTTAAAACATAATCAAATCTTTGTTGTAGATGGCAGCACAATACTGTAATGGCAATAATGGAACATGGATAGTTATCTTATGAGATAAATGAATAGGAAACTGATACAGCAACTGAGTATTAAAAATTTTAATACTAATAAAATAAACTTATTGTAACTAGATAACATATTATATATTTAAAAAAATATATCTAAATTCGATATATTAGAAATCGTTTTCTATCAATTGATAAAAATCATGTACTTTCACTAAATGTTATTACAATTGTAAGCTTTAAATAAATAAAAATATATCGATCTTGGAAAATTAAATTTGCACTTATATTAAATAAACAGAAAAACCAAAATAAAAATTCATAAATTGGATTAACAATTGTTTTCTGTCATATACAAAAATATTTTTAAAATGATAAATTTTTTTAAATAAAAAATAGTAATTATTATTATTATTATTTTAAATTTTATAATTTAATTAATTATATTTATTATATAATTGAAATTGAATAATAAACAATTATTATTTTAATTTTTATAATTTAATTATAAAATTAAATAATAAATAATAATATTAATAATAATATATAATTAATATTATATATATTAAATATTAATTATATGAAATATTGAAACGTTTAAATACTATTGTAATATTATCGATATCAATACGCATGACTTTAGTCGCGGAGCGAAAGTTACAAACGAAAACAAAATATAACCAGTCTCGATCGAACCTCCGGCAGAGGCACACGCGTTTGATTGAAGTATATAATTTATAATAGATTTTCGTGTTTAAAGTTAAAATATTCGTAAATGTTTTAAATTCAGTCATTTTTTGTGATAATTTCGTACATTTTATTTACAAATATTGATATATTTTATTATTATGGATAGATGAAAAATTTTATATTATTGGTCATCTACAAACAGTAAATAATAAATTTTTTAGCTTATTGATTTACTTTTTTAATATATATAAATAAATTGAACGAAATTATAAAATTTAAACTAACTTTAAGAACGTATAAGTTATTTATATATTATTTATTCGTATAATTTTTATTCTAAATTTGTACATTAAAATTATTATTATATTTCTATAAATTTTTCATCATTATATAACATTTTATAACATTTTTTTAAATATTTAATATTAGTCATTTTTAGAATAGAAACAAGAGACAAGGAAATCAAAATCGACAATTGCAAAAATTGTAAGAATATTAATTGTAAAAATATGAAAGTTAAATCTGAACGGATAGATATATGTAGCACATAGCATTTTTATAATAAAAAATAGGAATATATACAACAGGAAACATTTCAAATTTGTATAAAAATATTTTTAAATGATAATATATCAAATATGATAAAATTTTAATTGCATATATATATTAAGCTATTACATAAATTCTAACAAAAATTTTTAATATTTACAAGTTTATTTTGCAAAAAAAATATAATAGTAATCATTAGTTTATTTGGTTTTCTTGTTTCTTTGTCTTCGAAAATTATATAATGTAAATTATATAATATATAAAATATTAGTAAAAATTATTAAATGCGTTCTTTTGGTGAAAAATAGAAAAATAATAAAAAGAGAAAAATAATCGAGATACAAATAAAAAAATAATAAATGGAACAAAAAGAATTTCATGGAACGAAAAACAATACTAATACGATATATTTTATAGCTTTATTTTATTGAATAACATTTTTATTTTAATTTTTAAAATTATGAAATAATTTTTACTTTGTATTTTTTTTTTTTTTTTTTTTTTTTTTTTTTTAGGGATTTAATTTTGTATATGTATTTAGATGATAGCATACTAGATACTGCAACAATCTATCTTTTTTAAAGTCGGTATTTCAGAACATGTGACGTAAAATCCCACAAGATGTCACATGTATTACGTTTCTTGTCCATGGTATTAATATTTTTTCTATTATATTTACTGTCGATAAGTAAATAACAGATGGTATATTACCAACTCATGGTATACTATGAGCATTTATAAAAAATTTATAATAATAAATTATCAATTCAAATTATTCTAATAAATAAAATATCTGAAATCTGAAATAATTTTGGTATCATAAATATTTATAATTGTATTATACAAATTCTTAATTTATTTTAACATACTACAAAATTTTTTTTAGTATGTGAAACTATTTACTACAAACGATTTTTTTTTACAACAAATCTAAAAATTATAAAATAAATCGCATTTGAAATTATTCTCATGTAAAATTAAATAAATGGACAAGAAAGAGAAATTATCGAATAGAATAGAAAAAATCGGATAAAAATTGTCAAAATTTACAAAACAGATAATAACTCAAATAACATTAAAATCCTTATTTTATTATTTCATTGAAAATGTTTATATAAAGTATAGATGTTTTAATAAAAGTGCAGTGTTCC